TTAGTTTCATTAGCCTTAAGATTAACAAGAGTAGCATTTGTTTCTCTAAATTGTGTAAACTTCTAAATATAGTGCAATAGTACTATTTCAGTAGTTCCATGAAACTCCCAATATCTAGTACAATGCCCAGCACAGTACACAAGACTCTTACCCTGAGAGATAAAAAATGGAAATTATGTGCTATGTAAAAATGTTTCCTAGAATGGAGTCACGTGAATTTTAAAACCGGTTCCAAAGAACTCAAGGGAATAAAACAAACATCTGTTTCAGAGTCCACAAACATAACTCAAATTATTTTGTGAAATTTGTTTTTTGCTATTTTAAGAACCATAAACAAAAAGCACCACACATCAAATGTTAAATTCTAAACATAAAGATCAACAAGAAACATTGCTTGGGCCTCCCCGGTGGCGCAGCGGTTGAGCGCTGGGTTGCGAAGCTGCGCGCGGCCTCTGCGGCGCCGGTTCGATCCCTGGCTGCTCCCCGGCCACCAGAGGAGGGTCCCACATGGCGCGCAGACCTCTCCTGCCGCCCGCTGCTCCCCTCAGCAGTGTGCTTCGGTCCTTCTGCCTGCTCTGCTCCCCGCTCTGGCTCTGGTGAATTCTCTCGCCCTCCCGCGCTTCTGACTGTACCCAGTGCATGTATAAACAAAACAAACAAACAAACCAGCAAACAAATAAATAAAGCATGCCTCTATTAAAAAAAAAAAAAAAAAAAGAAACATTGCTTGCTTATGCTACTGGGTCAAAGTGACCATGGAGACATCAGAATGAAGCTTTTCTTGTCATCTCTATGCACATATGACTCAGAAATTGTTGTAAATTGTCACTGATTGGGAAAATCACAGCTGTGCATGGTTCCCTCTGTTAATACACGCATACTCACGTCCACGCATGTCAACACCATAGTAACAAGCACACTAGGACAGTAAACGGATACAGATATGGGAGCTCCACAGAGTCATAGCAAGCGCAGATGCCTCTGCTCATACACACTCTCATCATCAAAAAGCAACTGAACAAGTTAGTGAAAAAATGTTATAAGACATAATACTGCATGCCAATGTTAGTGTTTAAGTTATGAGTATACTTGATAGCACTGGTGATTCAAACTTTAAAAAAAAAATCTATAGAACTTTAAGAGGAAATCATAATTTTTTATTTTTTGATGAATCTGAACTTTGACTCTTAAAATCAAAAGGAAACCAAGTGCTGTGACTGATATGTTAGTGTTTAATGAAAGATAATACGCTAAAAAAATTCAACCCTTGGGCGTCCCCAGTGGCGCAATGGAGAGCTCTGGACTGCAAAGCTGCCCGCAGCCTCTGCGGTGCCGGTTCAATCACCGGCCACTGGCGAGGATCCCACATGGGATCCACAGACCTCTCCTGCCGTGCTCACCTCTCCCCTCAGCAGTGTATTTCGTCAGTCTGTCTGTTTTGCTCCCCGCTCTGGCTCTGGTGAATTCGCTCACCCTCCCGCGCTTCTGACTGTACCCAGTGCTTGTATAAATAAATAAATAAATCTTAAAAAAAAATTAAACCCTTAAAAAAAGTTTAAATTTATTGATCTCATTCAACATGCTCATTTATAGGTGAGAAAAAATTAAATCAGGAAGTGACTTATTTAAGGCCATAGATAAAGGGAGACAGGTGGAACTAAAATTTAATGGCTCTGGATCCTAGATGTTTTCTTTTTTCTTTTGAAGATTGATTTATTTATGCATACAAGAGCTGGGGTACAAGCCACAGATGCGGGGAAGGGGTGGTGAGAGGATTCACCAGAGACAGAATGGATCTACTGAAATACACTGCTAAGGGGAACAGCAAGCAAGAGAGGAGAGGTCTGCTGCGCCATATGGGTAGCTCCCTGGCCAGGGATAGAACTTGTGCTGCAATGGCTGCAGACAGCTTCACAGTTGCATCTTAGCCCTTTGCGCCACCAGGGAGGCCCTTGTAGTACATGTTTTCAATACACTCTAAGTCCTATTTAGCAAGGTTCATGTTCTAAAATGAAGTAAGGCTTCTAAGAATATTACTGTCTACCCAATACCATTATAAAGTTGAAAATGTGTTTCATACAATTGTTCACTGAGCCTAAAGAATTGTGAGAGAACTGAAGTTTTGTCTCAATAGAGCTTATATTCTGAGAAGATATGTACAAAAAATAACCATAATAGAAAATTATTTAAACAGAAGAAGGGGATATAGGTCAAAGAGTACTTTTAGTTATAAGAAGGTAAGTTTTGAGGATCTACTTACAGCATGGTGGGTGACTACATGTAAGAATATGTAGTGTACACTTCAAAGTTGCTGAAAGTGGTTTCTCCTTCTCAGACTACACAATAAGAGTTAACTATATGAGGAGACAGATGTGTTAATAATCTTGATTTTGGTAGCAGTTCCACAATGTATATGTATACCAAATCATAATGTGTACACTTAAATATATTTGTCAATTATTTCTCAAGAAAGCTGGAGGAGAAGGGTTAAGGGGAATAAGTACTGTAAGAATAGTACAGTGGAAGTTTAGAGGGTGGCAGGATTATTTTCTGGATGGAAAATGAAAACAAGATTCAAATTTTTTCAGTTAGGAAAGATTATACCAGTACTGGCACATAGAGGAAAAGAAATGGAAAGAATTTCAGTTTTGGATCCACTATAGCCTAGGAAATAAAGAATCTTATTTTGTTAGAATTAGACTTGATTTCTATGTTTTAAAAAATCCAGAGGCTAAAGAAATACACTAAGTGAATATATAGGGAAACAATCTCACAAACGCAGAATGTGGTACATTGTACAAGACTCTCCAGTCAACATCATAGGGAAGAAAAGGGGGAGGGTTGTTTCAGGTTGAAAAGATTTAACTGGCAAGCAAATGCAATGTCTATATGCTGACTAGATTCTGTCTTGCAAAATAAATAAATAAATAAATAATGCTAAGACATTTTTGAGACAATTGGGGAATTCTGAAATACACTGCTGAGGGGAGCAGCAAGCAAGAGAGGAGAGATGATAAGACATTTTTGAGACAACTGGGGAATTCTCATTATGAATTAGATCTCAGAGGGAATTAGGAAGTAATAGTAATATTTTAGGAGTGATAAGGATTGTTAGTCTTAGGATTTCTGTTATGTAGAAATACCTTTATTTTTTAGAGATGTATGCTGAAGAATCATAATGTCCAAACTCACTTTCAAAGACTTAAACAAATAAAATAAATTATAATTATAATTTGTTTTTAATCTAAACGATGGGTATTCAAGAGTTTGTTGTATTAGAGTCTTTCAACTTTCCAGTATGTTTGAAAATTGTTAACGATAATCTAATTCATTCTCTTCTTAAGACAAAGGGGAAAAGTGAGTCCAAAGTATTACAGTTAATGCAGGCCTTTTCTCAATAGAGATTAATCTGCCAATCTTACCCCAACCTCTCTTCCTATGCCAGAAAATTGGGACTTAAGAAAGAGACTGAGCTGGGAAAGCACACATACATGCATGCAGAAAAGTCAGCACATTTCTTATGCTTAATATGTGACACTGTCACTAAAATTACAAAAGAATAAAAATCTGTTAAAGATTGTAACAAAGGGGGTGGGGGAAGCAAATATTGTTTAAAAATGAACAATGATGTAAAAAAATAAAATAAATAGAAAAAAAATTAAAAGAAAAAGGAAAAAAAAAGATTGTAACAATGGAGTACCTCAAATTTTGTATAAAAAACCTGAGAACGCAGCATTAAGTGGGAATTAGTTTGTTAGATGCACAAAAAACAAAAATAATTTTTTAATCACTTAACTATTATTATTTACAGTAAAGTCTCACAACATGGTCTATTGATTATGGCACTTAAGTCTTCCAAAATGTGACAACATGCCTTAACTTCACATTTTACCTATCCCTTCCACAAGTTTCTTGTCAGACCCCTAAAATGCCATGTTTTTTCATATTTCTACACAAGTAATTTCTTTGCAAACAGAATGTTTTTTCTAACGTTTATCTACTCCTCCAATACCAACTTCCACCACCTCTTCAGTGAAGCTTTCTGACCCCATTCCCCCCTACTCCTTGAACGCCATTAATATTTTTTTATTATTGTAGAGACTTTTTAAAACTTTACCTAATTAACTAAATGTTTTCCTGTAAGACCATAAGTTAGAGCAGGTCTTATTGTATCTCTACTGATAGCTAGCTTTAAGGGTGTTAGAATAATGAAAACTGGCTATTTCTAAGTCTCAGGAAGAAACCTCTTAATTCACCGAAAAAACAAAGTGTTTGCCCTGAGTTGAAGGTATAGTTTAGCATAAAGCAGATTCACACTGAATGACTTGGACCCTGACTCTGCCCCTTGATACTCTTGTCAAATAACCTACAAGCATGGAAACTAGCTGAACTGAAACAAAGCAGCAGCCTGATCCTACTTATACTTACGATCCAATTAAAGCAAATTCCAAAAATTTATCTGAAGGGTTCCCTGCGGTGAGGGTAAGAACTTAATCAGAAAATCCCCAAAGTCGGGCCTCCCCTGGTGGCGCAGTGTTGAGCGCTGGGCTGCGAGGCTGCCCGCAGCCTCTGCAGCGCTGATTTGTTCCTGGCCACCGGCGAGGGTCCCACAAAAAAAATAAATAAATAAAATAAAATCCCCAAAGTCACTAATTCATTACTATGTCAAGATTTGAGTAAATATATATCATTAAGACCTCACACTCAAGTGAAATTCACTTAAAGGATTATGACACAAATATTTTTTTCTTAGGCATCTAATTGCAACAGAAATTTCATTTCTGAAAATAGCTCTTATGAAAACTTCTAAAAGTTCTGTTGCAAACATGCAATAATATGGCATTAAAACACCCAATGTATACGTAGCAATATATAACCTCTCAACTCAATACACGGAATATACTGATTCTTGCTGACTGCAAGTCAAAAGAGCTGATGCAAGACGAATGAATACATGCTGATTGTTCTTGGCCAAAACACATGCATCTTTAAGTACATACGCGTTAGTAAAGTCTCAACCTATGGTCCTTGAACTACCAGTGAATCATGAGGAGCTTGCTGGTGGCCTAGTACTGCCCGATAAGCAGAAGCAGAAAGCTGAGTAGGGATGGTGAGGGGCGGCGGGAGAATCAGATGCAGTGGTCCACCAAATGTAGATAACCATTCAGGTGGTCTGCAGTAAGGAAAAATGAGAGAATCACTAAATCAGCAAATTGATCATTGTGCCCAATTAATATGATCATGTTGCTTACCAAAAATCAACCTAATGTTTTCTTGCAATGAGAAGAATGTGTTTTGGTCAAAAGTCACAGGAGGTAGAACTAATTCATTAACTTAAAGGCAAAAGGTCATTATTACAGGGATTAACACTCAATAATCATTGCTATTGTAAGACTCACCTACATGTAATCTGACCAGTAAGGTGCTGCCAATGCTTTGCATTTATAGTAAGAAAATCAGACTTAAAAATAAAATCCATTTTTAAAATTTTTCCAAAAGAAAGAGGTGTTATAGGACTATAAAAAAGGTATGAAGATTCGTATCATTTCTAATATCTTGAAGTTTCTGTCCATAGTATATAGTGCTAATAACTGACCTTAAATGAATTAAAATTAGAGATGAAAAAGTGGGCATCATTTAATATCCACAGAGAGACTCTTTAAAACCACCTTTCCATTCGCTCTAAGGGAAAACACACAAACACACACACACACCCCTTTCTAACATAAATTTCAAGATCATCTTAACTAGGAAAAAATTCAGCACCTTTTTTTGGTAGAAAACTGGAAATGAAGTGAGACTAATCCCGGGAAAGGTAGTTCATTAGGTAGGAGCTATATCTCTTCCCAAAGAGGATTCAACTTTCCCCATATCCCAGTATTTTCCAATTGTGGTTTCCCTGACCTAAATTTAGTTCCCATACCTGCCCACCCAGTGTAACCCTGTATTTCCTACCTACACTTCTGGCTGCCTACTTCCCTACTGGTCCTCTCCTCACAATTCTACTCCTCCTGGTAAAATCAGCCACTCTCTGCTTTACATCAAGCAAATGCATTCTGTTTCACAGTATGTCTCTCTCCAATTGGTATAAAATTTTATTCAACACTTTCATAGAACCCCAGAGCTCACCAACCCAGAAAGCATTAAGGATTCTTACTTCCACAATTACACTAGAGAGAAAAGGAAGGGACCAAACCCTTAGCGTTCCTCATGCTCAATCCCACTTCATTTTTTATCATAGGTGCAGCCTGAAGAATAGAATGACAAGAAAATTCAATAAATAACTTAATTAGATGATGTGTAGAAGTAATATATGGAACACTGAAAATACTAACAGCTATGCATGGTCCTCTTCAGAAAATAACTGATGTATTGTAGAGAATGTGTTTGTTCTGAATACCAACCTCAAAAAAGCTGTTGGTGTAGTCTGAGGGTGGATCCTCAAAATGTCTATCTTGTATGAGGCTATGAGTAACAACTACAGCTAGATTATCTACAAACACTAAACTAGACTACAGTCAATGAACCAAATTACTTTCTGAAATTGCAATTGGTCTGTTCAAATATAATCAAAAACTGTCCCTTTCATAAACCGTTTTCCAATAATTCAAGATCCTATAATGCTAAAGGCCTACTGTGGTCAGGCTCAATGTAACTGGAGATTACTTTTCATTTTTTTACCTTTTGGGAAATTTTCATGACCATTTATTTTTTTAATTGAGTTGAAATGGCTTGTAACTCTATGTAAGTTTCAGGTGTACTTAAACACCTAATTTGACAACTTAAACCTTACCCGACACAATCCTTAGTACTGTCCTCCTCTTTTCGCTTTTATATAGCAGTTTTTATACCTTCAGTTCACCTTCCCCAACTGACTCCAAAATGCACAGTCAAGTTCTGTATCTAAACTTCTGTACTCTCAATGATGTCTCAATCTAAAAATTTTGTTAAGTACACTTTAACATACTGAAAGGTGAACCATGGCTTTCCCCAGATAGCTCTTTCTTATTCCCTAAAAAACCTGTCAAACCACCTCAATACTCCTGGTTTTAATTTCCTATCTCTTTTATATCCTTCTATCCAAAAAAATCAGAAACACACATACCCCACCCCCCACAAAAGATCTAATCTCTTCACACTGTAAGTATTCCTATACCAGTGCTTCTCAAACTTTAATATGCCCAGGAATCACTTGAAAAACTCATTAAAATGCAGATTCTAATTCAACAGGTCTGGGGGCACTGAGATTTGGATTTCATCATCCTCCCAGGCAATGCCAGTGCTCCTGATCGAGGAACCATACTTTGAGCAGCAAAATGTTTTAACTGTAAATTCCTTCCAATTCAGAGATTTATCCCCACTCCCTTGGTAATCCTTGTAACTGATACACAATAGTGGGTCAACAAATATTTACTGAATGAATACAGAGCAGTCACCATACACTGCAGTCTCTCTTCAACAGATGAAGAGCCCCTCTCCTCAAGAGTCCACGATGGTATTCTATTCCCTCCCTTCTAGTCACCACCATTTCCTGTCACACACTCCGATGCAACCAAGGCAGTCACCTCACCACCCATCGCCCAATGCATACATTTACAACAACTTTGAAGCCTTCATTAATAACCATTCCAGTGTGTTCTTTCTATCAATCTATGGAGAAGAAGTCTTTAAAATCCAGCATATCCTGATCATTTTTAAAGAGCCTTCTCTGACCCACCCTATCCTGCTGACATCACTTTGCTTTCCTTTAATCTCAGCACTGGCAGCTTATGCTATGGTATTACTTTCTGCTTAGACAGCATTTTATAGTTGTTTCATGTGTGCCTGTTATCATTTGCTTTCCTTATGAAGGACTTTAAAATAAGATGATTCCTTTTTGGGGACCACAGCAATAAAATAATACTGGGTATATTGTGGGCACAGCCAATGCTTATTGATTGTTAAGTGTTTCCCCAGAAAATACAAATTCATCTCTTGATTAAGAAGTTTAAGAATGGGGCCTCCCTGGTGGCACAAGGGGTTAAGCACCGCACCATGAAGCAATCCGCAGCCTCTGCAGCACGAGTTCGATCCCCTCTGGCCAGGGAGCAACCACATGGTGCAGCAGACCTCTTCTGACTCAACTGCTGCTCCCCTCAGCAGTATATTTCAGTCATTCTGCCTATTTTGTTTCTCACTCTGTCTCTGGTGAATCCTCTCACCCCCCTCATCTCTGGCCTGTACCCCAGCTCTTGTATGCATAAATAAATAAATCTTTAAAAAAAAAGTTTAAGAATGGCACATATCAATAAAAACAAGCAACAACAAATGTTGGCGAGGATGTGGTGAAAAAGGAACACTCCTACATTGCTGGTGGGAGTGCAAACTGGTCCAACCACTATGGAAAGCTGTCTGGAGTTTCCTCAGCCCATGAAAAATGGAGCTACCATATAACTTGGCAATTCCACTCCTAGGGATCTACCCAAAGGACACAAAAACATTGATTCAAAAGACCACCTGTACCCCTATGTTTATTGCAGCACTATTTACAATAGGTAAAACCTGGAAACAACCCAAATGACCAAAAATAGATTACTGGATCAAGGAGATATGGTATATATACACAATAGAATATTATTCGCAATCAAAAAGATAAACTCATGCCATTCGCAGCAACGTGGATGGAGCTAGAAGGAATTAGGTTCAGTGAAATAAGCCAGAAGGAAAAAGAAAAATATCGCATGGTTTCATTTATAGCAGGAATATAGGGGACCCAAATAAGACATGAGTGTAAAAAAACAATAACAATACACAACAAAGCAAAAATGGACAATTATAAATCAGAGACATACTGCAGAGGAGGAGGCAGGAGACGGATTGGGGGAGGAGCACAGGGGACTGAGGTGATGGTGCATGGGAGTCTTGGTGAAGGAAACTCTATGGGGACTATACCTGAGAGGGGGGGGGGAAGCAAATATTGTTTAAAAATGAACAATGATGAAAAAAAAATTTTTAATTAATAAATTAAAAAAAAGAAGATTAAGTGATAGGCCTCCCTGGTGGCGAAGGAATTAAAGTCTCAGTGCAATCAAGCTATCTATCACCAGGCACTGCGGCTTGAGTTCGATCTAACCCACATGGCACAGTAGACCTCTCCTGTCTCACCCTGCTAATCAGTCTTCTTACCAGATCAGAGAAAATAAACTTTAAAATTTTTTATTCTAAAGAAAGTAAATGTTATAAAATTGTATGAATTACTAGTTATAGGTTAAATTTTTTTTCTATCAATCAAGGGCTATATATTTAAAACTGAAACATAGAAAACAAAATTTAAAACTTCTGTGCACCAAATATAACATCAAGAGAGTGAGAAGACATCCTATAGAATAGGTGAAAATATTTGTAAATCATATATGTTAAGCTTAATAGCCAGATATATAAAGAACTCTTTCAAATCAACACCACCACCCAAACAACTCAATTTAAAAAAGAGGATTTAGGGCCTCCCTGGTGTGCAGCGGTAAAGCGCTGGGTTGCGAGGCTGCCCACAGCTTCTGTGGCGCCGGTTCAATCCCGGGCTGCTCCCCGGCCACCGGAGGAGGGTCCCACATGGCGCGCAGATATCTCCTGCCGCCTGCTGCTCCCCTCAGCAGTGTACTGTGGTCCTTCTGCCAGCTCCCCGCTCTGGCTCTGGTGAATTGTCTCACCCTCCCGCGCTTCTGACTGTACCCAGTGCTTGTATAAATAAAATATAAATAAATAAATAAATCTTTAAAAAAAAAGAGGATTTAGACTTTTCTTTCAAGAAGATATAAAAATATCCAACAAGCACATTAAAAGATGCTCAACATTACTGGTCGTTAAAGAAATGCAAACCAAAACTACAATTAGATACCACTTCACACCCATTAGAATGACTATGATTTTTTAAAAGGAAATAACAAGTATTGGTAAAGATGCAGAGAAATCAGAACCCATGTCCACTGTTGGTAGGAACATAAAATGCTAGTCACAACAGGAAAGTTTGGCAGTTAATCTAAAAGGTAAACAGAATTACCATATGACCGAGAAATTCCACTCCTGGGTACATATCTAAAAGAACTGAAAACAGGGATTCCATCAGACAGTTGTACACCAAAATTCATAGCTACATTAACAATAGCCAAGAACTGGAAACAACTCAAATGTCCATCAACCAGATGAATGGATACACAAAATGTGGAGCAGTATATGCATACAATGGAGTATTATTCAGTCATAAAAAGGATAAAGGGCATACAACAGGATGAACATGGAAGACCTTATGCAACCACCAACAAGGCCTCCGCTGTGGCGCAGCGGTTGAGCACTAGGTTGCGAAGCTGCCCGCAGCTTCTGCGGCGCC